CCTACAACAACAGCTACCAATCGAGTATTCAGATAGCTCCGTATGAAGCCTTATATGGGAGGTGATGTCGTTCTCCAGTTGGTTGGTTGATCCTAGGGAGGCTAGGTTGTTGGGCACTGATTTTGTTCGGGATGCCTTGGAGAAAGTCAAGTTGATTCTGGATCGACTTCGTACAGCTCAGTCGAGGCAAAATAGTTATGCTGATTGGAGGGTTCGCAATGTAGCGTTCATGGTGGGAGAGCGGGTTTTTCAGAGTTTCACCCATGAAGGGTGTGATGAGGTTCGGGGATAAGGTCAAGTTGAGCCATAGGTATATTGATCTTTTTGAGATCCTTGAGAGAGTGGGCGAGGTGGCCTACAAACTTGCATTGCCACCCAGCTTATCAGTAGTTCACCCAATTTTCCATGTTTCCATGCTCTGGAAGTATTTTGGTGATTCGTCCCATGTATCAAATTTCAGCTCAGTCAAATTAGACAAGGATTTGACTTATGTTGAAGAGACGGTGGCCATATTGGACAGGCATGTCCGAAAGTTGAGGTGAAAGAACATTGCTTCAGTGAAGGTTCAATGGAGGGGTCATCCAGTCGAGAAGGCGATCTGGGAGACCGAGCACGACATGCAGAGACGTTATCTTCACCTATTTGCCACTTTAGGTATGACTCTATTCACGTTCGAGGACGAACGTTTGTTTTAAGAGAGGAGAGAATATAATGCCCCGACCGATCGTTTTGTGTATTTGAGACCTCTTTCCCTTTTTGATGATTCACATATGTGTATTTGTGGTTTTATGACTTGCGGGGTTGGTTGGTTTCATTCCGGAAAGGTTTTGGGTTGATTCGGACCCTTTTGTCGTGGCTTAGAAGCCTAAGTGGGAAATGTTGACCAAGGCTTGACTTTTGTGAAACAACCCCGGAACGGTCTTTTAATGACTTTGGTAGGTTCATATCGTGATTTTGGACTTAGGCATACGCCCGGAAATTGAATTTGGAGGTCCCTAGGTTTATTTGACTTGCTTTTCCGAAAGTTGGCAATTTGAGGTTTAGAAGTTTCCCTAAGTTTGACTGTAGGTTGACTTTTAGTTATCGGATTCGAAATTTGTTTTTGGGTCTTGGAATAGGTTCGTTTTTCTATTTCTTGTCCGTAAAATTTAGTTTAATTTGGAGTTTGTTTGGTAGGATTCAGACGCTTGGATGCAATTCCAGAGGTTCTTGAACTCTTCCTTGGATTTCATGCATTTTGATGTCCGATTCGTAATTCTAGATGTTATTTTTGAGTTTTGATCATGCGAACGAGTTTGTATGAAGTTATTTTTGGGGAATTGTATAAAGATCATAGCTTTATTAATCGTAATTGATTTCCCTTTGCATTGTTTGATGATATTAAGTTATTTTTGGTTAGATATAAGCCGTGTGGAGGCGATTTTTAAGGGAAAAACTATTTTTGAGGGTTGATTTGGCCTAGTCGAGGTAAGTATCTTGCCTTACCTTGTGTGGGGGAACTACCCCTTAAGATTTGAGTTAATTATGTTATTTGAATCGTGTGGAAGACGTGTACACGAGGTGACGAGTGTGTACATGGGCTTATATGTGTTATGTTGATCGGTTTAGGCTCGTAGGCTCTTACATGCATTAAAATGATATTGTCATATCATGTTATATCTTCCATTGTTAAATTACTCTTACATGCTTTACCAGACGTTGTTAACTCATGTCTTTTCTTTTATTTTTAACTTGCTCTTATATGCCTTAATTGGTATTGTTACCTCTCTTATTGTCATGTGCCTCCTTTATTGTTCAATTGATCTTACTTGAAGTTGTTATTTCATGATATCTCTTCATGTTGAACTATACTTATGCGTTTAGATGTAGTAGTTATTTTATACTATCTTTTCGTTGTTAAGCTTATGTTATACATTTGGATTGGAAGTTGTCATTTTGTGGGAACGCCTTCATTTTAGTTATTGAAGTTGAAGTTATGAAAACTATTATCACATTGAGGTTGAAACTATTGATTATGGAGATGTCTTTCCTTGTTGAGTAATTCTCATTCATTCTTGTTATCATTGAGATTCTTGTACATTATTTTGGTTGAGACGTGTGCTATATGTTGTGATAATATTGGTATTGTTAATTTTGGCAAGTGTTGTGCCATATGGGCACGTGTGGTGCGAGATGACTATTGTGTTGTGATATTGATGCGCATGCGGCGGTATAAGGATAGGGGTTAATGTGCATGCGGCGATATAATGTGGGATTTATGTGCATGTTGCTAGTAAGGTAATTACTTGAAGCCACGCGGCGAGATAAGGGGGCTAAAGTGCGTGTAGCTATTTCGAAAAAATGTTTGAAAAATATAAATGCAAGGCTCACACGGAGATATAGGAAAATATTGTGACTGTGATTTGTGAGATGTGGATATGAGGTGTGGCGCCTCGGTTGTGATTCTTGTTTCGCCTTCTATGTTAGAAAGGCTTGTTGGTTGAACAGTTTTGTTAATTCTTCATTTGTCGCTTGTGTGTTTGCTCGTATTTGATTGCTTGTTGTTCTTATCATGTATTCATTCCTTGTTTCATTTGTTGCCTTAAATTTCGTTGTTAGCCTACAAATTTGTATTGCCTTGTTGTCATTCATTTCCTTGCTTCTGTTATTAGAATATCTTATATTCTGTTCAGTTTTCTTGTCCTGGTAGGTGTCTTGACCTGACCTCGTCGCTACTCTGCCGAGGTTAGGCTTGATACTTACTGGGTACTATTATGGTGTACTCATACTACGCTTCTGTAAATTTTTTTGTACAGATCCAGGTGCAACCGCTCGTGTCGGACACCAGTGATTGACCAGTTATCCCGGAGACTTCGAGGTACACATGCCGACGTTTGCAGGCCTCGAAGTCACCTTATGCTTTAGTTGTATTACTGTTTATTTCTTGTTCAAACAATATTGTATCTCGAGACTATTAGTGCACTCTCAGTAGAGCTTATGACTCGATTCCATCAGGTTTTCGGAGTTATTTGACAGTTGTACCGTTTGAGTTTTATTATGACAGTTTAACAATTTAAGTTGATGTTTGAATTGTTATTTCTGCTATTTCTCAATGCATGTTAGGCTTACTTAGTCTTAGAGATTATGTGCCATCATGACATAGTAAGGTCGAAATTTAGGATCGTGACATACATCCATTAAAAGATGTAGCATCCCGGCAAAGATAGCATAAGTACATGTGGAATAGTACTCATATGTGTAGCTAAATTCCATAATATAAACCGGGACAAGGAACATATATGGAGGACAACATGGAATTGTAATATGAAATGAAATACAAGTAAAAAATTCATGAAAAGAATATTATAGAACTTAAACCTTTAAACAAACCTTTTTGTTTTAGGTAGGAGTTTTCAAATCACTGACCTAAACCATCGCAACCTTGTGTATTTAGGGCTGTGCATAATTTGGTAAGTACCGAATTAGCGTATCGAAATCGAAAATTTTAGTATTTGGTATACGGTATTTTGGTATTTGATTTAAGTTTTTTAAAAATTGGTATTAGGTATGGTATTTGGTATTTTAAAATAAAATACCGAAATACCGATACCGTACCGAAATATAAAACATATATTATCAATTATAACATAAATATTAAAAATATAAAATTTTACTTTCCTTTATTCTCTAAGTTCATCAATTAACTCTAAACAAGTAACAAGACATTTCTAATGATCAAATATTCTTTTATGTATAATTTTCTCTATTTGGGTCGATATTTGCTAGTTTTGGACAAAATTTTTGTCAACAAACATTTTTAGTTTTATATTTTTTTAGTACTTTAATTAAGAATATTAGAGTCTATGGCTCTATGCACTAGTTAGTATTCAAACTGAATAAATCGAAGTTACCGAACCGAAACCGAAAGGAGAAAAATCGAACCATACCTAATTTAATTAGGTACGGTATTGGTATAGGATTTTAAGAAACCGAATACCAAAAATACCGAACTGAAATGTCCAAATACCGTACCGTACCGACCGACGAACACCCCTATGTGTATCTCATAGAGCCCCGTACTTGGCCGTATCGATTAGGGTGTCTAACCATAATATCGTATAGGTGTTGACCATGTATGCTAGCAAGAGAAATCCCAATCAAGGAAAACCATTTAATAGGGGTGATTGTTAGCAACACGTGTAGTTTTGGGTATTTATATAAATACTTTCTCAATGACTAAGAATATTATCCTGATCTCTAAACTCCACGAGTAGGGTGTGTCAATTTTAGTGTAAGATGTTAGGAAAAGACACTAATTCATGGAAAAATCTTTCCTAGGAGTGTATGGGATTTGGGGATGCTCCTCCTTCTATACAATGGAAATCCTATTCAATAAGTGTCGTATTTTGTAATGATCTGGCTGGTCGTTTTGTGTGGACCCCGTTCTCACGCACTACAAGAAATCGAGTCTTTTGTGACAACCTTCAGTGGCGACTAGCTTATTTGCTACAAAAGTTGTAGTTTCAGGGGCGACCCTTTATGTCGCCACAGAAAGTAATGTTTTAGTAGCGACTATAATGGTGTCACAACAAATAAGTACAACTTTTCCTTTCTTGCTTACACCAAAATTTTTATTTCCCGCTTGGACCACATCTGCGGCGACTTTTTTTGAAGTTGTTGCTATAGTCCTGTTGCAGCGATCATGAGGGTGTTTGGATTGGCTTATTTTAAGTGCTTATTGGTTTTTAAGCACTTTTTTAGTTTGTGTGGTGTTTGATAATAATAAAAAGTGCTTAAAATCACTTACGTTTAGGCATAAAAAGTACAAAAATAAGTCAAAAACCAAAAGTTGTTATTACCAACTTATGACTTTTGGGTTTTAGCTTAAAAGTTACTTTTTAAAAGCCAATCCAAACATACACCATGTCGCCTCTAGTTCTTTACTTTAAAATTAAAAACTAAATAAAAATTAAACACCCTTCACCTTTGTTTATTTCCGTATTCTTCCTTTTTCTTTTTTACCAAATCCATTCCCCTCTTTCCATCGAAACCCTAACTGAGCCCTAAAACTCGCCCATGGGAAAGTAGAAACGAAAGCAATTCCCCTCTCCTGAAATTCTCATTGTGGGACGCGAACCGATGAAATAACAAATGGAAGCAAACGATTTGGCTTAAGAAAAAATCGATTTGGTGTCTGAGCATCGCGAAGCGGCCTTGTGTTGTTTCCTCTCCTTTCCTCTCAGATTCGTAAGTTGCAGAGTTTTTTTTTTATGTGGGTATTTTCACTTTCTATTTTAGTTCTCATTGCTTCTTGTTAAGGAAAAATGCTCTTTATATGTGTCCGTTTTGTGGTTTGAAATAGTCTTGAATTTTCTATGAAGTCTTCAGATGTTCTTTTTTTATTTTTGGATTTGTTCAATTACTGTGATAGCCTTAGCTTGTTTTTGTTTTTTTGGATAATTTATTATAATTTTGGTTAAGGTCAAAAGCTTCATTTTTGTTAAATTCAAGTGCACATGCCTAGTGGATTAGTTAGAACTGTATATGGTATGTATGAATCCTGGGGGGTGGTTTAAGGTCTTTAAATGTCGTTTTTTTAGTTTTGGCAAGCATCCGCATGAACTGAAGTAATTGAGTCAAAGTTGTGCCCCCATGTTCTCTTTAAAGGATAAAGAAAAGAATGTTATATTTTTATTGAGTAAATCGTAAATTCTAGAATGTCTTCTTTGTTCTTTGCCTTTTTGTTATAGAGTAATTCCAGTGGCACGAGAGGGAAAATTATGGCCTCCACAACGTGTTTCCAGATTTGGATCTTTGACGATATACTGGTGTTAGAATGGTTTGGCAAAGATTGCTCAAGCTCTAAATTTATGGGTGGTATATTATACTCCAGAATATTCTTCTTTCCCCTGCACTTGGATAGTTTCCTGCTTAACCGAGATAAACTTGCTATACTTTTGTATAATATTCCTCTTCACCCCAAATCTTTTCTATTCAGAGAAAGTACAGTGCATAGAAAGAATAAACTCTATTACATGATTTTTAGCATATGGAATGGAGATTAGGAGTTTTTGGGTTTCTTATTCCCCTTTTCTTTTGGTCTGATTGACTTTCTTTCCATCGCTAATGATATTTTCACTGAAAGCTTCAATTCTTTTTCCTGTCAGTGGGTCAGATTTTGGTGGTTATTGACCCAGTCTAATCGGATTCATGAAATCTTTCTCATTTTCTTTGCCCTTTGGAGAAGAAACTATAAAGAATATGCTTTGTCTTTGAACCTTGAGGTCTATATTGGTTTTGTGGTTTCTTAAGGTGAATTCATATATTTATCCCTTCAGCAATGTTGTGTGATTAATGGACAATTATGTTGTTATGCTGATATCTTAAGCATGGATATACGTTTGTTGTTTTAACTTTCTTCTCTTTGCCTTGTTTTTCTTTCTTTTCTCTTTTCTACTCATAATAAGGATGTGCTCTCTTCTAGTTAATGCTATCGGTAGTTTTCAAGATCTTGAAGTGATGTTTGCAATTATTTCATTAAGATGAATCTCATTTGTTTCTTAGTGTACGTTGGTAACGAAAAACAAATTCATGTTACTATGCAAATGGAGAAGATAACCCAACTTTGTTGTGAGATGTTATTGGTTGCTTGACAAGTATGAACCCTTTTAGTATATAGTTCCTAGCACTACCTTGTCGAACCTTTCCTCCCTTGTTTTTCTTCTGTTAAGATTTAATGGCTCACTTTGGTAACTAGATGCATCCACTGATTATGATTTTTTTTGATTTTCTCTGTTTAGCGGGATTCTTAAACATATAACACCTCCATTATCGTGAAACTCATGAGGTTTGTTTCGTTTCTTAGTTTTCTCTTTATGTTATTGAGCATATTCTTTTTTTTTTCTTCTAATTTGACATTTTCTGAAGATAACTGTTATGCATGAGTGTACATATACAACAACAACAACATACCCAGTAATATCCTACTAGTGGGGTCTGGGGAGGGTAGGATGTACGCAGACTTTACCCCTACCCCAGAAGGGTAGAGAGACTGTTTCCGGGAGACCCTCGGCTCAATGCATGAGTGTACATATATATTTTTGTAATACTTTTTTAGAAAATGTGGCTTTCAAACGGTAGTTGGTTAATTTCAACATATTTGAAGTGTCTTGTTTAGTCGGACCCCTACATGCCACAACAATATACTTGATAAATTTGGTCTTGCCCAGATAGCTTGACTAACTTATTAAGCCTACATATTTGAAGTCTCTTGTTGAATCTCAAAGGAAAATTGTTCCTAATGCTTGTCAAATCTAAATTGAAACTTGAAATGAAGAGCAAGGAAGAAATAAAAGGTATGGATCTTCTCCTAACCAATCTTCAGTTACCTAGGCGTTACGATTTTTTTTTCCTATTCATTCATATTATCGAAAACATTCTTTATTAGCTAGGTTCTTTCAGGAGAATGTGCTACTAGGAGACCTGTTGTCCTTGAACATATAGCTATGCACTGCAAGACGTAGTTATTCTATTAAAACTAACAGAAAAAGGCTTTAATAATTACAATGTAAAAGATAAAATTTCTTCTGTTGTGTTTCTAATAAAGCTTATTTCATTGGCATTTAATTATTTTATTAACTTCATTGTTGACAATTTATTCATGAAGGAGCTTTATTATGGTCATTATGAAAGGAAATTGGCAGAAAGGCATTTAGCTTTCTGTGATAGATTTCTATAATGACATGCTATTCAATTTGATTTTTTCAGGTACGTAGATTTTAGATAGACATATACATGACTTGAATAACCTTTAGATTTTCATTGGGCATATATCTAATTTGAATGGAACTTTTTTTTTCCTTCACTAGAAACTTTCGGTAAAGTAATTATGCATTGTGCTTCCAAACATTATCATGGTGACTCAGGGATGTTTTCGAGGCTCGGGATTCTGAGGTCACGACTTGGGCTTTTATGTAGAGTCTCAAGACTTCAAGGGAAAATGATACTAACGAAGGCAGAACTTGAAGACATCTTATTTTGCTTTATTTTGTTTTTGTTTTCATGTGTATGTATAATTACTACATGTTATGAATTTTATTAAAAAATTTCTATATTATGTTGTTTGACATATGTCTTTAGTGTTGTCTCTTCTAATGTTTAATGAGTTTCCCTATTACCTTTGTGCAATATTGGTAGTAATATTGTTGCTACTATTAAATTTTTTTTTTGTTTGAAAAGACAAATACAATATGTGGCGACTATGGTCGTCCGTAAAACTCAGGAAATTGTGGCGATTAAGAGTTGCCATTGAAAGGGTTATGTGATCGCCAGTAAAGGTCTTCATCAGGAGCGACGTCACACTCTTTTGAGGAAGTTGTCCTTTTTGGGGAGAGTAAAGTCGCCACAAATATTTTTTTTTGTGCCAAGGTGTCGTCACAAATAATATTTAGTTACGGGTTTCCTTGCAGCAAACATATAGTCGCCACTGAATATTTATAGTGGCGACTGTTTGATATTAGTGACGACTTTAGTCGCCGCAAAAAGCCTGATTTATTGTAGTTCCTAGTTGATGCTTTTCGTATATGACTTGCTAGGATAATTGGTTTGGTTGAGCATGTTTAAGTTTAGTAAATCTGTCTGTCTAAAGGGGATATGTTTTTTAATACTGAAATATTTTCTCGTTACTCGCCCAAAGGGGGTGTGAAGGCTCACGTTTGCTGTCCATAATTAGCTTATATTGCTTTCAATCTTGTAGAAGACTTATTATTTACCCACCGATAGTGTGAGGCCTTAATGTTTATATTTTAGTTTAGTGAATCTGTCTAACTTAAGGGGATGGCTTTTCAAGTACTGGAATATTTTCTCCTAAAGGGGATGGCTTTTCAAGTAATATATAGTATTATGAAGGCTTATATTTTTTCGATCCCGTCTTTGATTTATTTATACCCTTAGACCTTCTTAATCAAATAATCCTGTTACATTCCCCCTCATTACCTTGTCTCACATAGAGCAAATATCACCAATAAAGATTTTTTACTATTTGTAGATGAAACTTGTCAGCTTTCTCGTTGAGATAGCATTTGTTGTATTTATTTGAAATATGTTTAGCTTTCTATTCAGTTGCTAAAGATGATTTATTATCATAGTTGAAAAGGTCAGTTATGATAGTTGGTAAACTTCAACTATCACGTAGCTCATATGGATTACTATGATGTTTGACATTAATTTTGAAAATCATATTTGTTTAACCAAAAATTAGATTTTAGGTCAAAGATCGAATTTAGAAGAACTCGGGTTACTGATAATCGGAAAAGTGTATAAGAAAGAAATTTTGAATGATATAATCAGAAAGCAAATAAAACAAAGTATATTCCAGTAGTGTTTTTCGTGTCCTACAGATGTTGTGACTTCCTCTTTTATAGTTAATTTTTAAGAGAAAGTGTAATGCCTTTACTTTAATGAGGCAATTACGAGCAATAAATGATATTGAAGGAAACGTTACTCAATCATTCATATTAAATACAAATTCTCTAACGTATTTAGCATTTAATGCTGAATTTGGACTCTTTTTCGCTATTAGATTCATGTCTCCAATTCCTTCTGATCTTCGAACTTTAAATGACTCGAACAGGTACGAGTCTCGTTTCATTTGAATAATAGTTCGTGCCTTTAAGTATCTTCTCTCCCGCGTCTGTTGTTGCTCGTGTCTTCTAATTGATTACCACGTTTTGACTACTTGACCGGTCCACGTGTCATGACACGTCACCTTCAATATTTAAATTCGGTTTTTTCCCAATACAGATAGTCCCCCCACTTTCCATTTATTTATCAATTAAATATTTGGGAAGTGGATCTTTCATTAAAAAGGGAATTTTTTCCATAATCAATGCTATGACAGTACTAACGCTTCAGTTGTCTTTTCTATTTGATGCATTGCATACGTGTCACCCTCTCATTAGCTTTGCAATTTTTGCAGCCTTTTTCCAAGGCTTCTTCAACTCCTCCATTCACGAAGTGATAGTTGCCTTTATTATAGGTTTTCCATCATTACACTTTTTAGTCTTTGACGGTAACCTTTATATAAACTTAACCCTTCTTCCACAAATTTTTACCACAGTCGCCCATCAGTATAAATTCAATTTTTCCTCTCACCTTTTACCACATAAGACTTTTTCCTTGAACGCTCGAATTGTGCGAATCTCTGTTTACTTCTTTCTCTTCTTCATCATGTCTTCTTCGAACCCTAACCCTAAGAGAGTTCCTATCTTAGACAATTTTCCCAATGCTCCTGTCAGACATAGAAGAGGTGGAGACTTCGTAGTTTAGGATCCTCTCGTGGTGGTGGTTCTGCCATGCCTTCTCCTAGCCCTGGTTCTTCCTCTAGAACTAAAGGTTCTTTTTCTCAAAAATCATCTTCTAAGAGCAAGGAGGCCTCTGAACCAATACAGGAACCCTTGGTAGAAGAAATAGTTCCTAACGATTTATCTTTTCAGCACGATAGACAATCACTTCAGACCCAAATTTCTGGTTTAGATCGAGTTGATGTTTATCCCACTATGATTATAGAGATTTTAGCTCCCATAGTTCGCAAAGATTGTTACTGGAGTAATGATTTTCCCATTGTAATCCCCAATCCAAATCAGAGGATTACTTCATATATGACTGGATTCTCTTTCGTTTACACATACCCTTTTACTCTTGGGTTTAAACCAGCTATTGACCCAGTAATTCTCGATTTCTGTCGTTTCTTCAAAGTTTGTCTAGCACAAGTTGGCCCGCTTGTATGGAGGGCTGTTGCTTGTTTAAGGCATCTGGCCAATTTGGCAAACGTTGATTTCTCCTTCTCTCACCTAATCCATCTATACTCCTTTAGACTTTTCCGTAATGGAGTTTTTACCTTAGTGGCTAGGAGTAAGAGAGTTTTGGTAAGCCCAGAAGATGATAAGGATCGTGGCTGGTATGCCCGTTTTGTTGCTGCTCCCACAGTTGGTTTAGTGGGTGAACAAAACGTTCCCTTCCCTGAGAAGTGGAATTTTGCACGTAAGTCTTTCATCTCTCCCGTACCTCTTTCTTTTGAGTTTACAAATTTCTTTAACTTTGTTTCTCTTCTTTTTTTTTCTTTAGCAACCATGGGAGTTGTGGAGAACATTCCCAATTTTCGTGGTTGGGTAGATAAATTGTTGAAGATTGCTCCTATGGAAGCTAGGTCTTGGAAATTTATTTCCAATCGTCATGGTTGGAAAGTAAAGACTCACGGTATGAGTTTTTGTCTTTCTCGTATGTAAGATATTTCTCTTTATCGCCTTAACTTTCAATTTTCTCTTTGTCAGGTTTCGCTATTCGAGGTGTTACTGCTGAAGCAGTTGCAGCCTCTCGTTTAGGAACCCAACTTTCTTTAGAAAGTGCTCAGGATATTCTTTTGAAAAGAAAAACCGCAGATGATGATAGCTCCGACGAAGAAGAGGAGGGTGGTTCTTTGGTGAAAAGGCCAAGAGTCCGGAGACGTATCGTCTCTGATGAAGCTGAAGTTTCACATCATCTTCTCCAACCGGGGCTGTTAATCTCGTCTCTGACGATGATGTTGCTACCCTTCCTGATACTCATGAATCGATTAACCAGCTTTTCGTTAGTGGTTTTGAGAGTGGTGAGTTAGGACCCGTTTTGGATGAACCTCCCCTATCTTCTTCTTCAACTCCCATACCTTAGTTCCTTCCCTTCCTTCTTCTGCCGTGCCTTTAGTTCCTTCCGTATCTGCTCCGACTTCTTCTTCACCTCCCGTTGCTGTTTTCACATCTTCTACCGCTCCTCCTTCTACTGTTCACAATGTAGAAGCGGGTTCTACAAGCAAAAGGATTGCTATGAGGAGCGTGACTATTGAAGTGCCTGCTAACAACAGCCTTTTGAGGAAATCCGGTCAGGCGGATGTTTGGCTTGAACCCTTAATAGGCCCGATTGAGAAAGAAAAAATGAATAGCCACAGCTGCCTGACTTTGATGAACGACATAGTTCATTCTACTTTGAAGGTATGCCCCTTCTTTCCTTAATTTTGCCAAAATTTTTCTAAAATTCTAATTTTTCTTTCCTTATCATTTTCAGGCCAACCTTATTGGTACAGAACTGATGAGCAGGATTTCTTTATTAGAGAAGGTGGCACGTGACTCTGAAAAGGCTGTTCTTGATTCAGAGAGGGAAGCTCGTGACTTTCAGTTGGAAGCAGCTAATTGGAAGGACCAATTTGATAGTGCTCAAATAACGATAGAAGATTTACAAGAGAGCAGGAATAACCTGGAACAGCAGGTGAGAGCATTAACTTCAGAGCTTGCGATTGTTAAGGCTTCTTCAAGTCAGGCTGAGAAAGAAAGAGAGCGTCTCGAGTCTTCTTTCTCAGAACAATTATCTAAAACAAGTGAAGAGATTAGAGAGCTGAAAGCTCTTTTAAGCCAAAAAGAAGTTTATGCTGGAGACTTGATGCAGAATTTGACTCAAACCCAAGAAAATCTGCGAACTTCTGAAGACCAGGTGAAGGCCTTAGAAAGATCTTAAATCTCATGCCTCTCTCCAAGCCTCTTATAACTCAGCTATGAATGAAAATGAGAGTCTCAAAAATGAAATTGCTGCTTGGGAAAGAGATTATGAGCTTCTTGAAGATAAGGCTGCAGTTGATGTAAGTTGGGCTTTTCTGAACTCCCGACGTGATGCCTTAGTTGAAGCCAGCCAAGAAAACTTTAGTCTGGAGTCAGAGTTAGCTAAGGTGATGGAAACTATTGAAAAAGCTCAACAACCATTGGACTTCCCTTCTCCCGTGATTGAAGTTTCCGAAGCTGAAGCTACCAAAGTTGATGTTCCCGTGACCGCTGCACCCTCTTCAAGCTCAATCATGTCCCTTACTGCAAGTCAAGTTGAAACTTCATCTATTGAGACTCTAGTGGTTGGATATCAACCCACTTCCGTTGGTGATGCTGTTCCAGTTGAGCACGCTGATGATCCTCCTTCAATCCTTTCCTCTCAGTAAAAATTTATATCTATTTTTGAATTCCTTTTTGCAGGTACCTACTTGGAAAACAGTATTTAAAGCTTTTGGGTTCATTTGAGAGTTTTTGTAATCAAACCCTTGGCTACTATTTGAGGGTTGATTTTTGGAAATACAAGTCCCCAAGTCTTGTTATGGGGCATTTAGTATAAACAAT